ATTTTTCTATCACTGTAATAAAATTACTCCTTGAGAAAAATGGAGCATTTCCAGAAAGGTTACCATAGTAGCCGTGGTCATGTTTTAATAGCCAACTCACACTCTTTTCCTCCAGCTTTCTGAACTTGGCCAATTCTTACTTTTATTTTAGCTGAAGACCCTAGTGCATAGCTTGAACCCCTTGCCCACCTCTGCCGCAACGTCTGGTCTTCTCACTCTGTATGTTAACACTTCCACCAAGGTTTCTCTATCTTTGTATTTACATTGTGAATACAGATGTACAGTACATCTGTACTGTGAGATAATTCATGTCTCTGAACTCATCACAGTAATAACTCAGCTCTTAGCAGTATATTTAAAAAAAAAAACTTTTGTTCTTCAGGTTTTCTAGTTTTCAATTCTGGGATAACATTTTTGGGCCCAATTCTCTCCTCCTCCTCCTGAAGCTTTCTTGCTTTTCTTTCTTTCTTTCTTTCTTTCTTTCTTTCTTTCTTTCTTTCTTTCTTTCTTTCTTTCTTTCCTTCTTTCTTTCCTTTCTTTCTTTCCTTTCTTTCTTCTTTCTTTCTTTCTTTCTTTCTTTCTTTCTTTCTTTCTTTCTTTCTTTCTTTCTTTCTTTCTTTCTTTCTTTCTTTCTTTTCTTCTAAAATGATGCTTCATCTCACCCACAACTGTATAATTTGTTTAGCCAGCCTCCCTCTTGCAGGCTGTATGGTGTCCCTAAACCTGTTGTGAGAGCCATTCCCTCACTATTCAGAGGTGGAGAACACAAGCTAATAAGTGAACTTAGACCAGAGGAGTCCAGCTGGGCCCTCAGGGTGTGGAAGTGCTGTTTTATGGCAGCTGCCAGTGATTTGTGAAATTACATAGAATCCAACCGACCACTGTGTTCAGAAAAAAAAGTGTCCTAAAGTTTCAGAAATAAAAGGATTAGTAACTGGCAAACTGCGAAAGCTCACCAGTCACATGACACCAGCCACTTATTGTGTGACAGCTGAGTCTTAGGAGAAGGTGCCACTGGATTATAGGCTCACCTGGAGAAAGGAAGCATGGCCACTTATGGGGAACCACCTTGTATTATCCTGATCTTGGTTTGTTAGGAAACTTTCAAGGGATTTGATAAACTAAGAGTCTCATTGCATGCACCCTTCCCACCAAGCTTAAGGCTGGCCTTGTCTCATGCAGAGCTGACTGACCAATGAGTAGACAGATGGATCCCAATGTGGCTATGTGTAAGCAAGCAAATTAGGTGAACAGCAATAAGAATGGTAATATTATCGTGAAATAGCAGTAGGGAAATAGCTGAGTGAGGAGGACAATAAGAATGCCATGCTTCTTGCTGTGTGCATGGTTTGGAATTCCAGTCACCTACCAAAACTGCCCAAGGCCTGGTCTTGAGCCACTAAGACTTCCTTTTCATCCAGCATAGTTCACTTCTGTCGCAATTCTCTACTTAAGCTCTGTGAACACTTCTTCCAACCATCTCACACTAGGACGAGACTTTGGTTTCACCTGGTCTCTCTTGTTTTATGTTGAGGTACAGGCAGGAATAACCAGCCTTTATATTGAAAAAAAATGCTCGGATTTCTAAAACATGCTCATATTAGATTATCTGCAAATAGTTTTTCTTGTTCCCGATTTTATTTTATTTACTTTTCTTTTTTCTTCTTTTAATTAATTAATCAACAGCCCGATTGTAGCCTTCTCCTTCCTCTCCTCTTTCCCTCCCTCCCTGCATATCCCTATTATTTTCTATATAATTTCATGTAAATATGCCTTGTAATATTTCTCTTCATCTCAGTAAATACACAAAAAGTTTACCTGGGTGCACTGTCCAAATATTCAGTTCTCATTCTTGACTGTCTACTTATGTCCAATTCCATATCAGACACTATATTGGATTCACCTTTATAATAGATATCACTATTTTTGCTGATATTCAGCTTTTCCTATTATGTCAGAACTTCATTTTCTTATTTCCTGGAACTTAATTATTAGATGCCCTTTATTGAAAAAAAAATGTTATATGCAAAATTCCTATGTTTATGCATTTCCAATGATGAGATGATGTTTCTGTCATCCTGGGTTCCTGATCAATCCAATGCTCTGTGATGACTCAAGACATACAGTATTGTGAACAAAAAATAAACCATTGCTGTTTTATAGCACTGAGAGTTGGGGATGGTTTGTAACTGCAATAAGCTAGACAACTCAATGAAAACAACCTTTAAAAGTTCTACTTCAAAGTCTATCTTAAACCTCCTCCCTGCTACTACGTTGATTTGAGTTTCTCAGTTGAATCCTTCTCCACTATTTCTAAAGGATATTTTCCAAAGAGTAGCAACCTTTTCTGTTTAAATATGAAAGAGATAATGTTATACTCCCTTAGCCCAGACCTTTCAGGAACACTGTTCTAGACTCGGAGTATGGTCAAAATCTCCCTATTGACCAAAGCACCTATTATTTAACTACTGCCAGTGTCTCCAAATTTGTCTCTTGCCATTCTTCCATCAATAATCATCACACCCCCTCACCACTGCTAGCAAGCACTACACTAGTGCCCCATTCTGCCTTTGTCTTCTTGTTCTCTCCTTGTGGAATATTTTCCCTCAAGATCTCTGTGTAGCTTAGCTTATTCCCATTATAAAAAAAGAAATTCTTTTTTTCCCCCAAGGTTATAGCCTCAGAAGAGTCTCAGTGTCTTCTAAAACCATACCTCCTCATAATCCATTATGTAATTATGATACTTGATTTCATAAAGAACTCTTTGGGCTGTCTCAATTCTTTATTTACTTCATTTGGTTCTCTCTCAACAGATTATGAATATCAAAAGGCAGGGATTATTGTTTGTATTTGAGTGCTTTGTACCCGGCAGAAATGTGCCTGTTGCTTAGTGGGTTTCAGCAAATATTTATTAAATGAAGGAAATAATTCATAACTCACTGAATAATCAAGATGTCAAAACAACACTGCAACAAAAACACAAGTGAATTGGAAGTAATATTCTTTCATAGATCTTTAGCCTGGTTTTTTGGTTAAGTAGAGCAAACACTAAATCAATATACTATTGAATATCAGTTTGCATAATTTTAACTATCACCACTTATAATTTATTTATTCAGTGAAATCTGATGTGTCCAAATTAACTTGATTACTAGTACATACTAGAACAAGGAGTTCTTGAAAGGTAGCAGCATAAGATATATTTAATGTTATCATGACTAACATGTTACTCAGTCAGAACGGCCTAAATTTTCTACAATGCCCAACATGTATACAAGAAAATGATATGAAATCAGAAGATCGGCTGAGAGACAGACTAGGCAAGAGAATTTTTTTTCAGGTTACTCCCTAGACAGCTTTACTGGGATCAAGGCACTACTATAATTTGCCAATGAGCTGTACATATAGGTGGTATGTTTTCTTCTTCATCATCAGATCCTCAATGGGAAGTATTCACAGGCACTTGTATCATGGACCAAGACAGCAAACTTTAACTTCCTTCACCCTGTGTATTCTTGAGTTCTTATTAAGCAGAAAGGAAGGTTATCATTAGCATACCTGCAGTGTTATCAGCGTTCAATCACATGGCATGTTATGACTTTTCAGAAAAAAAAATGGAGGAATATTTTCTATGATGAAGACATATGTGGACAATAAGTGTCTTCAAAGGAACTCCACTTCCTTCTCTGGCCTCAGTGTTACTGGAGTGAGGAACGCTGGGAGACACAAGGCGAGAGACTAACCCTCGAGACCTTCCGTTCTGGAGAGTCTTATCTAATTCTTTGTTGCTAGAAAAGGGTGATTGTGGCATTTTCTGCCATAAATGCCCCAGAAGACTGCTGTGAAGATAAGACATGCTTACAAGGTAGATGTAGTCGTTGCTTGTTTTTCCCTTCCTTCTTGGAGGTGAGTATCATCTAAATTGAAGTTATAGTGCATATGAATTTCAAATTTGCACAGAGGGAAGAGAAGAGAGCAAAATGTACATATTTGGCCAAACGGTCTTTTCTTCTACTAGAGGTTAACAATATCTGTATCTGGTTAAGGAATGTTGAAATTGTAGTAATTAGAAAATGGCACTGCTTTTTCTTTAAATGTGCAGAACAAAGCTGGTTCTCAATAGGAAATGTGCACAGCCTGTTTTCCATACTCAGCCATTTCCAAATATTCTGTCCCCTACCTAAAAAGAAAGCTAAATTCACAATCACAAACGGAAACAAAGCTCACTGTAATAATGAAGTTAATATCTAAAGAGGAAAATCAGAACAATCAGAGCAGGGAACGGTGCACTAGCCTGTGCGTTGTCTGAAATCTCTCTGCTGTTTTGGTGGGTGAACAGACAAACCCCTGGAGTGTTCAGCTTCTTGTTTTAGCTGTATTGCTGCTTTATTGAAATGAATCATTCTCTTGCTTATCACTCTACATGTCCCAACATATTCTGTAGCCCTTACTGAAAAAGTACAAATGGAGATGAGATGCATACCCCACTGAAAGCATTTCACTTCACTTCAAACAAACAAACAGACAAAAGTGGCCATACGGGCCAGTTGCCAGTCATACAACTCTACCGAAGTCCCACACCTAGAAATCTCATTAGAAAGGGGCCTAGTTATAATAAAGATGGAGTTGGCTACTGCGCAATGCGCTGACAACAAAGACAAAGGGACTGTCTGTGGAAAACAGCACAGGAAGAACCGTCAACAAATGCATTCCAACCTCCTACACACACAACCCATACAGCCTGAAAAACATACAGAGGAGAGTATGGGGAAACGAGTCTTCTCTCCTAGCTCATCTTCTCCACCAAACTGTTTATTATGCCTACCTCAGCCAAATGATTGCAGGAGAATATTTACCCCATGAAACCCAAAGTGAAGTAAAGCCAGACGGCACTGGCCTAAAGAGCGGGTCTGGTTGATACTGAGGCAGCCTCTCGGTTGCTGTTCTAACACAGAATTAAATCATACTCTCAGGAGTGTTCTTTGTGTAGGTCCTCTTACCTCTTGGTGATTCTTGGCCAGCCATTCCTTAATCGTTCCTAGAGCAATGACTGCAGCAGGCTCATTTGGAAAGCCTAAATGAAGAGCATAAGAAAGCAAGTGAATAAAACAAGGAAGGGATGCATAAGTCAACCAAGGGTTAAGAATGGATTGATCTCATTATATACCATTCCGTTCAACAAACAAGTGGAATGAGGCTGGTGGTGATAAATTTTACATGGATGTGAAACTTTGGGTTGATGACATGATGCTAAAAAGACTAGCTGCATCTCTGCATGAACTCAGCGGCTGGTTCTTTGATTACCGCCCCCTGTGGGGTGCAGCCTTGCAAGGACACAGGAAAATGGTGCAGCCAGCCTTGATGAGACCTGATAGGTTAGGGTGAGATAGAAGGGGAGGAGGACCTCCCCTATCAGAGGACTAGGGAAAGGGCATAGGGGGAGAAGAAGGAGTGTGGGTGGAACCAAGAGGAGATGAGGGAGGGTTCTACAATGAGGATACAAATTGAATAAATTGTAATAATTAATTGATTAATTAATTAACTAACTAATTAATTTTTTTGAAAAGAAGACTAGCTCCATACCAGTTACAAAAATTAAGGATTTAATAACTACAACAACTAAAAATATTCACATATATTTAATACCTTATAACATACTTTCTTTATTCTCAGTAGAGCTCAGATCAAAGTTTACTATCTGCCGCAGCTTTTTAAAATTGAAAATAAAGTTTTCCCTCATACAATATATTCTGATGACATCCTCCCAGATGCACCCCAGCATCCAAGTCCATATCTGTCTTGTTCTCTCTCATTAGAAAACAGATATTAATCTAAAAATAATAAAAAAATAAGATAATATAAAAACAAACAAACCTAAATAGTACAAAATAAACAAATGAACAGAAAAATCAAAGAAAAAGCACAGAAACACACAAATTGGTGAACTCAGAAATCCCACACAAAAAAACTGGAAAACAAAAACCATAACATACAACCAAAAGACCTTTGGAGTAAAGGTGGAAAGGGAAAGCAAACAATACCCAAACATTATGTGACAAAAAAAAAAAAAAAAAGAAAAAAGAAAAAGAAAAATAATTCCAAAAATAGCATTGTGTTTGTTTTCTGTTGGCAGACTCCTCGGCTTTAAAATCCAGTAAATTTGGCTCAGAGAAAACATATGGTTGGTGTGGAATCATTAGGTCAATATTCTACATGCCACAGGGCAAGGATTACCAAATAGCTGCATGAAAGATATCTATTGTCAGGATTCAGAGGTGATAATTCCAGCTCTACTTGGAGACCCTAGAGAAGATGTCTGGGCTGAAAGCCACCTCAGCTACAGTAGCTGATTTCACCTCAGCAGCAAGAGTGGCAGAGCTATGCTTCATCTCAGCATGGACACACATGTGAGGAATGTCAAAAGTACATCCAGGATGGCTTTTTAACTAATGTGACCTGAACACATCCCTAGACCACCAGAATCATTATACGCTCTGCCGTATAATGGAGGACCCTGGGTAAGATGATCAATCCTCAGTCAGAAAGGCAAACCGGATGGACATTGGAAGAGGGAAAAAACAGGGAACAGGACAGGAGCCTACCACAGGGGGCTTCTGAAAGAGTCTATTCAGCAGGGTATCGAAGCAGATGCTGAGAATCATAGCCAAACTTTGGGCAGAGTGAAGGAAATCTTATAAAAAAGGGGGGGGCAGGTAGAAAGACCTGGAGGGGACAGGAGCTCCACAAGGACAGCAACAGAACCAAAAAATCTGGGCCCAATGGTCTTTTCTGAGACTGATACTTCCACCAAGGACCATGAATGGAGATAATGTAGAACCCCTGCACAAATGTAGCCCATGGCAGCTCAGTGTCCAAGTGGGTTTCCTAGTAAGGGAAACAGGGTCTGTCTCTAACATGAAATCAGTGGCTGGCTCTTTGATCACCTCCCCCTGAGGCAGCATTACCAGGCCACAGAGGAAGACAATGCAGCCAGTCCTGATGAGACCTTATAGGCTAGGGTCAGAAGGAAGGAGAGGAGGACCTCCCCTATCAGTGGACTGGAGGAGAGGCATGGGGGGGGGGGCAGGATTGTGAGGGAGGCTACAGCTGGGATACAAAGTGAATAAATTGTAGTAAATTAAAACATAAATTAAAAAATAAAAAAAAGTAGAAGAAGGAGTAATCTTACAGACTCACATTTCTCTGATGGCAAAAGAGGAGTGACTACTTTATTAAAACATTCCTTAGGCTCTGTATTGGTTTCTTCATCACCATTAAATACGCTTTCCTATTAGATATACTTTTCTGGATTTCCATGTTCCAGTATGTCTCATTTTGGTCTTTTTTTTTCCGTTTTTAAAAATTATCAACAAGAACAGAATTGAGTGGCATTTAATGTGTTTATTACATTACATGGCTATCTCTGTCCCCCGAGTACTGTAGTGATGCCTAAAGGCACTCCGTACCCATCAGCAGGCATCCCAAAGCTCCGGGCCTGTCCACATCTCACTACCATCAGCAGAGTCTCCTCCTGAGCTTTCCAGTGTGCCTTCTTCTCTACCCTGTATCCTCTTTTGTTGGACCAATTTGTCTCAGGTTCTTTTCTTTTAATTTTTATTTTTTATATTAATCACAGGTTATTTACTTTGTATCCCAGCCATAGCTCCCTCCCTTATTCCCTCCCAATCCCACCCTCCCCCTCCCATCTGCTCCCTGTGAAGGAGTCTGGTAATTGGAATTCTGCCTCCTGGCCTTGGCAGATGCAGGTCTTATCCATAGTTCCATTTCTCGGAGACTGTCCTTGGAGGTCTCTGCAGGCGGGGGGCTCTGAGCCTGAGAAGTAGATAGCAAGCTCCCTGCAACCCTGGGAACCAGACAGCAGACTTTGTGTGACCTTGAGTGAATTCTTGGATGCCTGGGCAGGTGGCGCAGATGTGTTGCTACCATGAAAAAAAATTGCTTGTACCCTTTGCTTTGTAAGTGTTGTTTGCACATTCAGCAAACTGAGACCTTGATCAGAAGCCTATCTTGGTCTCCATTCTTCGGGTCTCTGTCTCCCCATTTCCACCCCCTTTTTCACTTAGACCCTGTTTGACTAGCCCATGGGACAGGTCATCCCTGCCCCTCTCTAAATCCACTGATAGGAGAGGTTCTCCTCCCCTTCCATCTGATCCTAGTCTATCAGGTCTCATCAGGACTGGCTGCAATGTCCTTCTCTGTGGCCTGGGAAGGCTGCTCCTCCCTGGGGGGAGGGGGAGGTCAAAGAGCCAACCATTGAGTTCATTTTTGAAACAGTCCCTGTTCCCCTTACTAGGGTAACCCACTTGGATGCTGAGCTGCCATGGGCTACATCTGAGCAGGGGTTCTAGGTTATATCCATATATGGTCCTTGGCTGGAGAATCAGTCTCAGAGAAGACCCGTGCCCAAATATATTTGGTCCTTGTGGCACTCCCATCCTCTCTAGGTCTTATTAACTCCCCCTTCTTTCATATGATTCCCTGCACTCTGCCCAAGGTTTGGTTGAGTCTCAGCGTCTGCTTTGATACACTACTAGGTAGAATTTTTCAGAGGCCCTCTGTGGTAGGCTCCTGTCCTGTTTCTTGTTTTCTCCTACTTCCAATATCCATCCCATTTGTCTTTCTAAGTGAGGATTGATCAACTTACCCCAGAACCTCCTTCTTGTTTAGCTTCTTTAGGTATACAGATTTTAGTATGTTTTTTAAAGATGTGTCAATTGATTGTCATTTCCAAGTTCTTACACCTAGCCTTCTTCCTACAGTCTACTTTAGTCAGTTTTAGCATCAACCACTAAGTTGCTTCTGAGATGCCTTCTATCCACAGCCTCTTATGGCAATGTCTTGCCTAACAAAGAGAGACAACGCTGTGTGTAGAGTTTCTCTGGTGGCAAATACACAGGACTGTGTTTATACTGATGACTTAGCTCTCAGTGGCCTTCAGGGGATCAGTGGGAAAGATGAGCAACCAAAGCAGTACCCTCATTTGCAAGTACTCAAGAACAAATAATGCTTTTCTGACTAGGTTTTTTTGCAGGCTTTGCTAGAAATCATATTAGGAAGCTATGGGAAAATGACAAGGCCAACATCCATGTGTTTTAATTTATAAACAAATGGGAACCTCTAAGGTATGAAAAAAAATGCTACATTGTTTTGACAACTTGTAAATCCTTCTAAAAGATTTTGGGTTTATTGTCTTTAAATGAATCCTTTGTAATATAAAACTTTTAAAATTATTATAAAAGATGTTAATTAGAAAACTAGTTATTTTATTAAACAAACTATTATTGAGCCAAAAAATCAAGTTTCTGTCCAAAAAGTCTGAAGTTTATGGAAGGAAATAAATGAGTAAATATGCAACCATAAAACAGCAAAAAAAAGCCCAGTAGGATAAGATAACACAGATAAAGAGCACTAGGCAAGAAATGACAGAAGTTTAGGGTATGGACAAGCAGAGTACTCATTCAGGAAAACATTGTCTTCAGAAGTAAATAGGCAAGGAAGTGATGAACAGGCAGGGAAAGTGATATCGAGATTTAAAAAAAAGAGGAGGAGGAGGAAGGAGAAGGCAAAGAAGAAGAAGAAGAGGAAGAGGAAGAGGAAGCATGGGGTTGCACAAAGGAAGGAGGGTATGCATTTGACACCACAGAGCCTTGCTTAGCCATCCTTTCCCTGATTGAACACTGGCACCTGTAGCCACACTTTCCTTGACATGCTCTAGTACGAAGACACAACCTGTCTTCTTCACGGCTTGCTGGCTCTGGTAGTGCCTTGCTCTGAGTCACTGCTGTGTGTTCCCAGTTTCCCTGCTGCTGACTGAAGCCAGAAGTATGTGTTCCTCTGGAGTATGAACTCTGCTGCTTTCCTTTTCCTTTGATCTCAACTGAGGTAATATTGGTCCTCAAGTGGATAGATGTACTTGATTCTTAGCTGTGCTGCTTTAGTCTTCATGGCTTCTCCAACCCACTCAGTACCCTGGGCTTTGCAACAGTCTTTCTCAAATGCCACCACTGGAAACAGCAATGCAGTCTTTGTTGATGCCACAGCCCATCAGTGTCT